TTTTTTTTCTTCTGATCTTGAATCTTTATTCTTTCTGAGAAAATTTTATATTGTCTTTTCTCCTTTAAAATTTAGGTAGAATCTGATGGGTTGCATACAATAAGATTTGCATACAATAAGATTTGTCAGGCTAGCTCTTAGAATGGCAACCCCTCCTGATCAGGTTAGCATTTGCCTTCATTGCAAAAGATTAGCTTAGCTATCAGATTGTGATATACATCAAATGTCCTGCTATCTTGTGGCACATTTGGTTTTGAATGTGCCCCAAGGTTACAGAGGTTGAAGTCAGGAAAGCTAATTTTCAGAGTGAACTAAGATATCCAACAATTTTTTAAAAAAAAAAAAATTCTTAAAATAAGAAAAATATCAAAGAAATTATTGATCCACTATTGGAAGAACATGACCAGGAAATGAAGGGCAGCAGGAAAGAAAGAGGAACTTCTTAATTCATTCTTTGCATTTGTCTTTACACAAAAGAGAAAAAAATAATAGTCCAACCTATCAAAAACAGCACTGTAAAAGACAAATTAGGAATACAAGTCAAAATAAGTGAGAAATTGTCCATTCTAGACAAGTTCAAATCAGCAGACCAGATGAATTAAATCCAAGATTTCTGAAGGAGATTGTAGATTTGATTTTGGAACCATTGAAACATAGTTTTTAAAGATCCTGGTGCACTGGGGAACTATCAGAGGACTGAAAAAGAACTGATGTTATTCCCATCTTCAAAAAAAGGCGGGGATAGATCCAGAAAACTACTGACCAATTAGCTTGACATTAATATCTGGAAAAATTCTGGAAAAGTTAATCAAGCAGCAGTAGAGATTACATCTAGTAATCAAGTTACTAGATGTAAACATCTAGTAACAAGCAAAGCTCTTACTAGAAGCCAATATGGCTTTGTCCAAAAGGTCATGCAAAATAAATCTTACTTCATTCTTTGACAAAGTGACTAAATTAATGGACCTGGGAAATTATCTGGATATACAGTAGTTTACATGCACTTCAGTAAGGCATTTGACAAAGTGGACCACAACCTACTACTTGGTAAGATAGAAAAATGTGATATAGACAGCATCACTACCAGAAGGATTCATAACTGCCTGACAAACCACACTCAACGTGTAGTCCTCAATGGAGAGAAATAATCACTGGGGTACCCCAAGGTTCTGTCTTAGATCCAGTATTCTTCAACATCTTCATAAATGATTTAGATAAGAACCATCAAATTTGTAGACAACACCAAACTAGAGGAAATAGCCAACACTTTAAAAGATAGTCTCAAATTCCAGAAAAATCTTGACAGACTTGAACACTGAGCCCTGTCCAATAAAATGCATTTGAGTGGCAGGAAAAGTAAGGTTTTACAATTAGACAAGGCAAAGCAAATGCCCAGGCATAGAATAGGTGGTACCTGACTGAACAGCAGTAACTATGAGAGGGATCTAGAATCCTAATAGACAACCATTTTAGTTTGAGCCAGCAATGTACTGCAATTGCCAAAAAAGCCAATGCAGTTTTTGACTGCATCAACAGAGAGTTAATATCAAGTTCACATGAAGTAATAGTATTGCTATACACTGTCTTAGGGGTGTGATAGCTCAGTAGTTAAAGATTCTCAGCTTATCAGCTGGAAAGCTAACAGCCTGGGCTCCAAACCTGAGCACCACACAATGGAGTAAGCTCCCATTACTTGGTCTAACTTCTGTTCACCTAGCAGTTCAAAAGTATGCATATGTGAGGAGATAAATAGGCAACATTTTGGTGGGAAGGTGACAGTATTCCATGTGCCTTGGCATATAGCTGGCCACACAACCAAGGAAATGCTTTTGGACAACGTTGGCTCCCTCAGCTAAGAAATGAAGATGAGCACTCCCCCTAGAGTCAGAAATGACTGGACAGGGGAAATCTTTACCTTTACTTTTATAAATTGTCCTGGCGAGACTCATTGGGAATCTTTATCATGGTGTCCAGTTCTGGACACCATGATAAAAAAAAGATGTTGAAATTCTAGAAAGAGCAATGAGGCTTATTAAATAAAAAAGAATATACAATAATGCATAACTAATTTGCTATTTCTCTTTTCCCCTTGAAAATATTCATTTGTCTTCATTCTACAAAATATACATAATCACTAAAGACAAAAATCTCTTAAAAGAATCTGAGTATTTAGCAAAGTGAATAACATATTGTTAGTATTCACTGTCCATGGAAAGATAACCATTATCAAAAATATTGATAATTCTGCTATAAAGCATAACAATTATTTGACATAATTGTTATGAAATTTGCCTGGCACTTCCTTCTTGAATTTTATATATTTCTCAGATGGAAGTATGTGCATCACTACTCAGTTGTTACTCAGCTGTGGGAAATAAACTGAACTGAATATGTGTTTTCTATAATAGTTCTGCACAGTTTATTGATGCACAAAATTATATCAGATCATAGTACATTACTCTAGTGTGGAAGTTAGGAAGTCCTGTCCTTCTGTAATTCAGAGCACTGATATCCTGGATTCAGGTTTTTTGAGGACCCTTTCATATATGAAAGTTCCAATGACATCAATGACTGTAGCAATTGCTTGACAGAAGTACCATATTTTTCTCCCAATGAATCAATGACAACAATTTTATGGAAATGTATTATAGCACTTTCTAGAACTACCAATATAGAGGGTAATAGAATAACAACAATAACAACATTCCCTGCTTTTATGCTTAGGTCTCATCAGTTACAGAACCTTTCAGTAGCTTCAGACTTGCTGTCATGGATGAAATGCTGCACTGATCACAAAATGTCCAGGTCTATATCTAAATTATGTGCACATCTAAAACATCACTGCATGCATAAAATATGGCTATATGAACAGGTGTTTTCTTAGTGTTTTGCCAAGTCAATTGGTTTTGTTTAAACACCTGCAGATAGTTATTTATGAGGAATATTGATTTCAGTGAGATAATATTTAAATTAATATTTAAATTACCTTAATAGATTTTATAAACATTTTTTAAAAAACTTATTTTATTTCTTCATTTCTGAGGATCCTGCACTGTGGCATCTTCAGTGTCATGCCATTAGAAAACATGGGTGCTGGCTTACACCACACCCAGAGATAGCTAGAATGATGATATGCAGGCAAGTCAGCTATAATCATGAGATATAAGTCCAACATATGTGTGTGATCATGTGTTGTGGCAATGTGGGAAGACCATTGTTATTGCAAGGTGTTGGTGATATGTTTTCATTTCTCTTTCATATTAAGCAAGATCTAGCTCATTCTGAACTAGTTTGCTTGTTTTCACTCTTTCTTGTTCAACAAAGGAGAAGTTGGGGGGAGGGAATCTTCAGGTAACTTCAAACCTGTGAAAGTCTCATGGTTTCAGTTCCCATCCTGGAATGTGCCACCTGATGTAGGTCAGGTCTTGCAGTCTCCTCCTGTCCACTGCAGAGCCATGAAGTCATGATGCCAGGTTTTAATAAAAACCTTGGGATTGTATTGTTGGGAGGGGAGAACATTAGGTGTTGTGGAAACTGACTACCTATGGAGTATTTCTGCTGTTGTTATTAAGGAGCTCCTGGAAGCTTATAAGAGATTAGGTGTCATCTTACTTAATATATATCCTCTTTATATTATGCTACTCAATCTGTTTGCTTGAGCTAATAATAAAGCTTGAAATCCCTTTATTTACTGGTATTCTTATTGTCTTTAGATCCAAAAGTTGCAATTGCCTGACACTTGGTAAAGCCTCATAGTCTAAGTCACTATCCCCTATAAAGATTCTCCTCAGATTTATCAACAAGTTTTTCGAGAATAGATTGAATTCAGATTGCTTGTATGCTTTTCTAACTTCCTAACTTAGCAGAATAATAAGTAGGAAAACATTCTTTTATTGCACTACTCTCAATAAATGTATTGACATTAAAAAGCATTAACAAGAGTCATTTAGCACCAACACCCATTTATTGCTGTTTACAGATTGTTCTATTCCGACTGATCTCTCAAAATCAATTATTGAGACATATGAAAATTAGTTGCTGCAATATTGTTCAAAAATAATTTGCAAACGGTATCTTTTGCTATTTCTTTCTAGACTCTAACATATTGAAAAAAACCCTTGTTAAACCATTTTTCCTCCATGTCTCTTATAACACCTGTTTTAAGAGAAACACCTGTTTCTTCTTGTTCAATTGAAGTGACAATCTCAAGAGTCCAAATTTTAATGTAATGTCATTTAAAAGAAATTATAGGAAGAATATGTTTCATTAGTATATCTAAGAAGAGTTCTTATGAGTCACTAGAGAGCTGTGGTTGCATGTGGTTTAAATAAGCAAGTTAAGAATTTTATAAACTAATGCATGCAGAGGATAAACCTAGGAAATATGCAATTATGAATAAAAGAAAATAGAATGGGAAGCCTTTTGAGTGTAAATTTATGTCTGATACATGTTCTTTAGCTTCATCTATTTTATTAGAAGTCTGTGTCTACATTTAACTACAATTAATAATGAGAAATACTTGCAGATGTGACATTTTCATAACAGCAATGACCTCTGTGAGATTACAATGCGGGAAATTCATATAATGAATTTATATGAATCATATAATCTTGAACCTAGAGAAGAGGAGGGGAGGGGAGGGGAGGGCAAGGGAGGGGATGGAAGGGGAGGAAAGGGGAGGAGATAGTAAGGGGGGAAGGGAACAGAGGGAAGGAGAAAGGATAGAGGACAGAGGAGAGAGATCACTGTGATTTAGGTTGATCAGAGATTTGGGGATTCAGAGATAGAAATGAATTTTGGATTATTGTAGTAGTATATGTTTCACACATTTAATTTTTCCTAATAAATGGATAAATTATGTGTATAATTACATGTGATTTAGTACTTTCTAAATATGCTGTAAAATCTGTATCACACCATCTAATGTGTTAAAAATAATACATTATAGCCCTAAAAAAACAAACTCTCTTTCCTTCCCCCTCTCTCATTTGTGTTTCTAGGTGCAGGATTCTGTGATGGACAATGGCACGAGGTTCGATTCTTAGCAAAAGAAAATTTTGCAGTTCTCATCATTGATGGTGATGAAGCTTCTTCTGTTCGGAGTAACAGTCCTCTGAAAGTTTTGACAGGAGAAAAATATCTGTTTGGAGGTAAAATATCTTTTAAATTATTTTCTTGGAGAATAGCATTTTTGAAACAATTTTTAGTAGCCTTGGAGGAGATTTTTTTCTGGTTAAAATGCAAGTAAGATGACCACTTCCTCTCAAAATATTGTTCAGCTTTAGAGATTAATTTTTTTTATTAAAAATTTTTAAGATTTTACAATAAAAACCCCTTCCCCAATCCCTCCCAACCCACCCCAAAACCCTCCCCCTTTCTTCCCAGGGCTGAATACAGGCTTAACTAGAACTTAAAAGAAAAAAAGTTTTAAGCCCAAATAAACCTTAAGCAAATATAATTACACTCAATAAACAAATTGTAAGATAATTTAACTCCATTATATATAAAAACAGAAAGAGGAAGGAAAAAAAAGATAAAAAAATAAAAAAAATAAAAAATTAAAGAATAATAATAATTACACTTCTAGATAATATCTTAAACTTTAAATATAAATTATTCGAAAGCTAGATAATATTTTCTTAAATCATACTTATATTGTATAAAATTTATCCATCTTTTCCACACCAAGAGATACTTCTCTTGCGATTGATCTTTCAGGAAAGCCGAAATTTTTGCCATTTCCGCTAAGTAAGAAACTTTAAAAAACCATTCTTGCAAAGTAGGCAAAGATTCCTTCTTCCAATATTGCCCTATTAACAACCCGCAGTAATTAAATTTAACATTAAAATAATCTCTTTGTCATCACAATCCAGAACAATACCCAACAAAAACAATTGTGGAGTAAATTTTATCCTTCTTTTAAAAATTCTTTGAATATTCCACCATATCTTAATCCAAAAAGCTTTTATACTTTTACATGACCACCAGATATGATAATAAGTAGCATCCAAGCAACCACATCTCCAACATTTAGGCTGCAGGTTTGATACATACGAGACATTTTTTGTGGATCAAGGTGCCATCTATAAAACATTTTATAAAAATTTTCCCGTAAATTTTGGGCTTACGTGAATTTAGCATTCCTCACCCAAATAATCTCCCATGTATCTAATAAGATCGGTTCATCAAAATTTTGTGCCCACTTAACCATACAATCTTTAACTAACTCTGCTTCTGAATCCAATTCCACCAAGACACCATAAATTCTTTTAATATGGGTTCGACTTTGATCTCTAATTTGTTTTAAAAAATTCTCATCTTCTCTAAGCAAGCCCACATTATAATCTATCTTCCACCTTTCCAATAGTTGTCTATACTGAAACCATGAATAAATAATATTTTCTTGTGCTAATTCATCCGTAGATTTTAATTGCCAATTTTTACCATCCCACTTAAGTAATTGTGTATAAGAAATAGTATCCATCTTAACTCCTCTCCTTATTCCTTCTATTGCATGCCATGGAATAGCCCATAATGGAATTCTTGAATCACTTCTATAATATTTCTTCCAGACCCGAAGTAAAGAAGTTCTTAAAATATGAGATCTAAAAACCCTATCAACCTTTTTATTATAAATTAAATAGGCATGCCATCCAAAAAGTAAATCCCATCCCTCCAGAAGGAGTATATCTACATTTGTTAGGTTAACCCAATCACTGATTAATGTTAAGACCACAGCATCATAATACAATTTCAAATTCGGTACCTTAAGTCCACCTCTCTCTCGTATATCTTGTATAATTTTAAGTTTTACTCTTGGTTTTTTTCCCTGCCCAGATAAATTTATTGATACCTTTCTGCCACTCATCTAAATTTGCTTCTTTCATTAAAATAGGTATCATTTGAAATAAAAAAAGAAATTTTGGCAGAACATTCATTTTAACCGCTGCTATTCTCCCCAAGAGGGACAATTGCAGCTTTTTCCAATTGTCAAATCCTTTTGTATTTTAACCCACAGCATTTCATAATTATTTTTATACAGTTTTGCATTGGAAGCAGATAAAATAACACCCAAATATTTTACCTTATTAATGACCTCAAAGCCTGTCAATCTAACCAAGGTCTCCTTATCCAAGTTGGTCATGTTCTTAGGCAATATTTTAGTCTTATTATTATTAATTTTAAAACCTGAAACTTGTCCATACTGATTTATCAATGGTAACAACTCTGTTACGGAATGAATTGGTTGAGATAAAGTAACAACCAGATCATCTGCAAAAGCCCTTAGTTTATATTCTTTTTTATTAATTTCTATTCCTTTTATTTTCGATGATTCCCGAATTTTGATCAATAAAATTTCCAAAGTTAAAACAAACAGCAATGGGGACAATGGACAACCCTGTCTGGTCCCCTTTTCAATTGAGAATACCTCTGATAAACCTCCATTAACTATAATTTGTGCAGTTTGTTTTTGATAAATGGCTCGAAGAGCCTGTAAAATTTTATCTCCAAAGTTCATTTCCTCAACCAATCTTAACATAAATTGCCAATTTAATTGATCAAAAGCTTTTTCAGCATCTAAAAATATCAAACCTGCAGAGATTTGGGTGTTCTTATCCAGATATTCTATTAAGTTAATAATTTGTCTAACATTATTTTTCATATACCTTCCAGTTATAAAGCCAGTTTGATCCATATGTATTAGTTGATTCAACACAATCATAAATCTATTAGCTAAAATTTTCGAAAAAATGTTATAATCTACATTCAAAAAACTTCTGTAATTCAGGATTGAACTATAGAGTCCTTGGTGCTCTCTGAGACTAGGTCACATTATCAAAAGCATGATGTTAGTTAGTTAGGTAATGAAACATCTGCAGGCCAACAAACAGACTAAGAGAGTACCAAAAGCTATATAATTAGTTTCTAATTCAAACAATATTTCTAATATGGAGACACTAGTATGTGCTTTGAGCTGTGTTCTCATGGTATACCAAGTTGAATATGAACTAGTTTAAATTTCACTTTGGTTTCTGCTTATATGGGAAACTGAAAACAGTTTTTATGCTAATACAATTTCTCTGATAACCAGTCAATAAGAATAGAACAAGAAGAGACTTTGGAGGTCTTCTAGTCCAATCCCTTGCTCAAGCAGGAGACACTATACCATTTCAGACAGGTCGCTGTCTGGTCTTTTCTTAAAAACCTCAAGTGATGAAGCACCTACAACTTCTGAAGGCAAGCTGTTCCACTGATTAATTGTCCTAATGTTTAGCAAGTTTCCCCTTAATTCCAGGTTGCTTCTCTCCTTGATTAGTTTTCATCCATTTTTTTTCTCTTGCCTTCTGGTGCTTTGGAAAATAAGTTGACCACTTCTTTGTGGCAACCCCTCAAATATTGGAACATTGTTATCATGTCACCCCTAGTCCTTCTTTTCTCTGGAATGGCCACACCCAATTTCTGCAACCATTCTTCATATGTTTTTGTCTCCAGGACCTTAATCTCCTTAGTTGTTCTTCTTTGCACTTTTTCCAAAGTCTCAACCTCTTTTTTGTAATGTGGTGACCAAAACTGGATGCAATATTCCAGGTGTGGTCTTACTAAGGATTTATAAAGCAGTACTAATACTTCACATGCTTTTGATTCTATGCCTCTTTTTATACAATCAAGGATTGTATTAGCTTTTTTGACTGCTGTCACACACTGCTGGCTCATGTTTAAGTGATCATCCATTAGGACTCCAAGGTTCCCCTCACAGTTACTGTTTTTCAACCAGGTTTTGCCCAATCTGAACTTGTACCTTCAGTTTTTCCTGCCTAGGTATAAGACCTTGCTCTTCTCCACATTAAATTTCATGTTGTTAGCTAGGGGCCATTCTTCAAATCTGTTGAGATCTTTTCAGATCCTGAGCTTGTCTTCTGGGGTATTGGCTATTCCTGCCAACACCTGCAAATTTGATGAGTTCCATTTCTATTCCCTGATCTAAGTCAGTTATAAAGATATGGAAGAGTACTGTGCTAAGACAGAACCTTGTGGTACCTGACCACTTACTTTCCTCCATATAGATGTAGTAACAGTGATTTATATTCATCAAGATCAGACAAGTGTTCGCTTACTATTTTTATTGCTTATTTTAATTTGTATTTCTAGTCTGTCTTTTACAGTTATCTAAAAGACAGACAATTATTTAATATAAAAGACAGACCATTTCAAAGGAAACAGCTTCCCAGGCTTAGACTTCTGAAAGTTCTCAAGAAAACATACTGAGACTCTTTAAGAGATGTTGTGAACTCTACGATGATTGAATGAAAAAAAAATAATTGCAAATTCCAATATCTTCCTCATTCTTGATCAGAATTCAACTCTGTTTTGTGCCACCATTTTTTTCCTAAAGGTCATGTTTAAAATGCTTATTTTGAGAGAAAATATATTCAAAATATGTATTGATATAAAATATTTATGTGGATTTCATTTAAATCATTGAGCTGTGTCAAACTAAGATGGATTGGTTTTATGAAAATCCTTGAAAAGTTATTGAAACCAAAATTAAATATATTTGCCCATCCAGTTTAGTTGAAAAATTTTAACAAACATCTTAGTAAAAGCCTATGGAATCCATGGCTCTCTTGGATACATTTGAAAAATAAATCTCTAGATGTTGACTCAGTTCTAAACATAAGGTGTGATTTAAATGTTGATTAAATTTAACAAATGCTAATTTTATTTCCCAAGATCACAGTGTTCATACTTCCATTAGTTTTAGCAGCATATAAATAGATAAGTCATTATAGGTTCTTTTAGATTTTGTGTTCTGTCAAAGTAGATACCGTATATGCCGGCGTATTAGGCGACCCGGCGTATAAGACGACCCCCGTCTTTATAGCCGGGCCACATTCCTAGAACGTCGTCTTATACGCCGGAAACTACCAGTATTTCCGGCGTATAAGACGACTCGGCGTATAAGACGACTCGGCGTATAAGACGACCCCCGTCTTTGGCGCCGATTTCAGCACTCGCGGAAGTCGTCTTATATGCCAGCATTTACGGTATATTTTTATCTTCTTAATAGTTCAATTTTTTTTCAAATGGTAATTGTTATTATTAGACTTGTTCTGTGTGATTAATTTTTTCAAATTATATAATCTCTACT